CTTTAAATTATTTTTTATTAAAGCTTAAATACTTTTTGAATGTTATTAGCCTTTGTACGTATTGTTTTTACGAATAATAATATTGAAATTACTTATTCATTATAATTATCTCTTCATAATTTAATTGAATTTTTATTATAATCTTTAAAATCTCACGTTACGACAAGACATTTGTTTGTTAGTTTGTATATAAATTCTAAATGTTATTTTAATAACAGTAAGCTTTACTCCATTTGTAAATCAAAATTATTTCTACTGATATAGGCATAACTTGTATAAGGCTTTTACCCACAAATTCACTCGTATAACTTAAACTTCCATTTTAAATGAATCATTTTGAATTTTGTCATATTATTGTATTAATACAAATACCTAGACAAAAACAAATCTATCCCGAGAGCACCGTACATTTTTCCGGGATAAAGTTTAACCTATGTGCTATTCCAGAATATAATCTATCTTTATGTCGAATTTCATCAAGATTCGTTCTGCCGTTCTGGCGTGAAAGAGTAACAAACAACCACCCACTCATCCACCCATCCTCACAATCTTTCACATTTATAATATTAGTAAGATTTTAGACCCGACGTTTCGAATACTTTAAATCAAACAAATTAAAATATTAACCCACAAACTTACATTTACCCACTTATACAATGATTTTTTAAGAAATAGAAAAATTTCGCCAATGTTCCCTACAGTATTTGTTAATTTTTAATTTTAACAAGTATTTTATCTTTAATTAAAATAAAGTTTTCTAAATAATAAAATTAGAAAAGAAATCTGTATTTTAAAATCCCACAAAAACTATAAAAGAACAAGCCAAATGCATTATCAATGTGATAGAATCCAAAATCGGTGCAAATTCATGACAACAGAAGTCTCTAGAGGCGGATGTAGAATTTATGAGGTACGGTGGGCAACACGCCCATTTAGTATATTTTCCATGTATTCAAATGTCCACCTTATTTTTACACACGTAAAGGTCAAATTTACAATGACCTATTAAAATATTCTATGTGCTATATTAAGCTGGCAGACCGCCAGCGAATCCACATAAAGGTTGACCGCGTATTACACCGGACACTAAGATAATATTTTATAAGGTCAAACACCCTTTGAATCTTGTATTTGTTTTCAACAAGTCATTGAATATATATATATATATATATATATATATATAATATATATATATATATATATATTCGTATTTTATGTCCTGTAACGTAAAAAATATTTAATTGGCCTCTAGGGATCAACCAATAAGTCCATTAACCTCTAAAGATAGATGTATCTACGCTGGCTAAGACTTTGAATATATGTTATGGATGGTCCATATTATTACAACTTTACATTAAAGTTTTTAATTATAAAAGAAATATTCGAAAAAATGATATTATGAGATAACAAATAAACATGTTTCTTAGAGATGTGTCGAATTTACAACCTTCAAGAGAGTTCCCAAAGGGTACATCAGTTCCCTATTACGATTTTGTTACGGTTCTATGTAAGGTATCTTATGCTGACGTCGAAGTAAACGCTATGGAGATGGTCAAGTTTTTATTATGTGATCGATTCCTATCACACATTTTTGTGGAGAATTTTAAAGTCTAATATTCAAACTATTTTGTATTGTGTATTTTGAGCTTACACCCGTTAAAGATGACCCGCTTTACACGGGAACAAGTAAAACGGAAAGTTCTAACTGTAACCTCTATGAAACTTAACCACGTTCATTGTTTAAGACTTTAAGACAAGACTTTTCTTAAGAACTTTTCTTAAGACTTACTTGGGGGTTTAGGTAAGATAACTTTTTACAAGCATTACCGTTTATAGAAAACTAATTACTGGAATTTAAACCATTTTCACGTGATCAGAATAATGTTATTCCATTACATATATCTTTTTCTATTAAAGATATCGATTATTGAAATACAACCTGTCTAAGGATGCTGTTTGCATTTCAAATCCGTCAATCGCAGAAAAATCGCGTGAAAACCGAATCAGACGTTTTAGATTCGACACGTTATCGTTCTCTGACGATGGTTTGGCTTTTAACTATATCCTTAAATCTCCTATACACATTATTTTCTAGATTAACTAAACAAAAATATGAACCGTTTGTTTGTTTATTTCAAAGACCAGTTATCGTGTAAAATATTATCTTTCTTTACTTTTATAGTTTGTTAAATTTATATATCGTCGCCTTTTTTGTGGCAATGTTCGTATTAAAAAACTCTTTCGGTTTAATAATGAGCACTGAGACGACGAAATGACACAGGTTCATTCAAAATCTTTAAAGATTTAAAATATCTGCGTAACGTATACGATTTTTCCTATTTCGAATTAAATTTAAAGACAGAAATTGTTTTTATTTGAATTCGTTATTACAAACAGTTGTAATTACTTTCGTACACGAAGTATCTTTTAATTTAAACACAGTCTGCTCTAATTCTGGTTACTCGGTAATCAATTGGCAGGCTTCGCGCTTGGTTTAGTTTCTATTTACCTTACGGTGTTTTAATTGAGTGTATTAATGATTTTTTTTTAATTCTTTTACAAATATTTTTTTGTAGGTAATTTTTACCTGCGGCTCTGCTCATATAGTCAAATTATTCATTGCTTCTAAGAATCATATAACCTAGAGTTATGTCATATGTATAGCCTAATTGCCTCGGTGGTGTAGTGGCTAGCATGTACGGCTGCACACCCGGAGGTCCTGGGTTCGAGTCCCGGGTCGGGCCAAGTTTAGTTATTGAGTCTTTCTGTATAATAAGTCTCAGTAACAGCCCGGAGTTGGGAAGTTGGTAAGTAGTGTTTCACCCCCGTGCCTCGGAGAACACGTAAAGCCGTCGGTCCTGCGCCTTAACTCTTACCAGTCGTGTCGAGTGGTCGTCCCACCGGAGTATGAGAGTGATAGGAATAGAGAGTGCACCTGTGTCTGCGCGTACACTTGTGCACTATAATATCTCCTGCGCAGTTGGCTAATCTCAATGAGATTGGAATCGGCTAGGAGAACATCACCATATATATAGTCTACAATATAATTTATGGAACCTCATAACACCTCCAGTTAAATTTCTAAGAAATTAATAAAATTTTTAAGAAATCTATTGTTAACTGTAACGCCGGCGTGTCTGGAGTCGTTGAGGGATTAAAATAGGCTTAAAAATGCAAAGTTTTTCTAGTCCCACTGAGTTTCAGAGATCAGTGCGTTTGAACAAACAAAAAAAACATTCTCAGCTTTAAAATTCGTACTAGATTGCCTTATGTTTATAAACGTCACTCAATAGACTTCCGTAGATTTGGCCGCAAGTTGAAGATTACGTAATGGATAAATTCCCTTCCTTTACAGACTGAACGTTTTATGCCTGTAAGGGATCTAAACTCAAGTCAAAGAATATATAATATTTATCTCTGAAACACAAATTAAATAGCGTTTTACAAAACCTTGAAAGCTTAATAAAATAAAACAGAGAATAACAGTTAAAATAACTTGATTTCTTACAATAGAAGCTGTAATGAAGTCGGAAACAACGCCCAAGAATACAAACGTTTTAATTCAACTGGCATTTACAAAGGTTATGAACCACAGTAGTCCATTTAAATATCCATTTTACAGACGAAAACTTGCTCTATTCGGTTGAGAATATCACAATATAATCTACATCTACATTCCCAACAGAACTCAGACGCTCCCTAGTCGGTATACTAGACAAATAGCAGTTTAAGCGTTCTCTAAATAGTTCTCGAGTACTGGCTTCTAGCTGAGAGTAGTAAAAATTTTAAACTCTAAGTCTTAATTAACATTACGCTTCGATACAACTTCAGCCCAGAATAATGTTAGTTAGCACAATTAGTACGTTTCAATTGAATGTACTAAATTATATCCCGAACACAGGTAATTTATAATTTTTAAATGTATAATATAAAAATTTCACATAACCGTAAGTATTATTCTGCACGATTAAAAGTTTTATTAAGCTTGCTTTTAAATAAAATTTATTTTAAAAATAATATTCTTAAATACACTTTCAGAAATCGTGACAACTCAGTAGGAGGTTACTGCCCGAATGTGACGATTGATGCTTGGCTTTTATATAAGTAGCAATCGTTCGCGTGGAATTTATAACCTGCTACTAGGTGTTGCCACACTTGAAAATGATCAAATAAACGTACATGGCTATCTAGTCGCTGATTTGAAACACCACGACCATCGTTTCGCTTATCAGATTTTTGATCAAGACTTACAAGAGATTTTGATCTGTAGGAATTAAAAAAAAACAACATCATTATTATCTGAACAAGCGAAGGGATGTTACACGTGACCGTCAACGGTAAAACGAATTGTTTCTCTTTTACCATTGACATTACGTTAAAACCGCTCCAGATAAAACCAAAGCGCTAATAATAAAAATAACATTAAAGCAAACATAAATCTCGCTTCGTTACAGCTTAAAATATAATAATAATAATAATTTGTAAATAAAAACGTACTTGTCGGCTTCTATAATTTTTTAATTTTTGATACAATTTTACTCTCTGACGCATTTTGTTTGTATTGCTTTGATGTTAAAATTAAAAGTTTTGGGTAAATTTTTAAATTTTAGTTATCGTTTGCACAGAGTTGTTCAAACTCCAACAGTAGTTTTAAAATGTTGAATAATTTTTAATGACTTATCCACGGTACGTTTGATGCAAATGAAAGCTATCTACCATTGATTAAAAAGGTTTTTTAGGTTAACAATTTTAAGACTTGATACGGATCGGGGGATTTGCTTAAATTATTCAGAGGAGAATCATTAGTTCATTGAGATTTGTTTTTATTGCATTGGGTCAATGGTTTTGTTTCTATCTTTAAAACTTTTTAATACATTTGAATAAATAAAGATTATTATTCTGAAAACATTTTAGCTAATATTTGAAATCTAAAGTTCATTTTGCCGTGGTTGATGGTAGAAAGCGTGCGTGTAGAAGGTTGACGATTTTCTCATTGATAGTGCTGACGAGGGTTTTGACGGGACGTACCAGACCAACGTGGTGGTCAAAAACAACGGCAGTTGCCTGTACGTACCCCCGGGCATTTTCAAGAGCACATGCAAGATAGACATCACGTGGTTTCCTTTCGATGACCAACATTGCGACATGAAGTTCGGTAGCTGGACTTACGACGGCAACCAGGTACTAAATAAAAATAAGAAAGTGTAAAATTAGAATCACACTTTAACAAAAAAAAAAAATTGAACCATTATTAAGTTTTACTAATGGTTCTTTATACTGATGATTGTTTTATCAAGGTATATGATACAAATGTCTTAGAATAATATTTTGCCTAGTTTTAGTAGAAAATCAAAAGTAAACTGCTATAATTTAAATAAATATAATATAACTTTTTCCATCACTAATAAACACGTAAGGTTTATGAATATATGAGTCGAAAGAAAAGAAGTTAGGGCTAGCTAGGGTTTACCCTACGAATGGTTGACCATTAAGGGAACCATGTGAGAAACCAGAAGGATATATTTATCCTAAACGTTTTATATGTACTATTTTGCATGGTGCAAAAAATTGTAACACTTCTAAATATGTGTACAACTTTGTACCTTTAAATTTTAACTACCATACGGATACGCGAACTATTCATATTTTTACAAAAGCTTAAATCCATTTCTTTGAAAATTTGAGACATTTTCTAGTCCAAAATCTAAGAACTTCAAAGATTTCAATTATAACAACGAACAGTAAATTAAAAGAAATGTATTTAGGTACGAGTGTTTGTAATAACATTTAGAATTTATTAAAATTATGATTTTTTGCTAAGAAGACTTTTATCTGATTTTTTCACACATTTTTTTCTATATTGAATGGCGTACCGTATGGTAGTGGTTATAGACACTATAACACAATTGGCATGTAACCCCCGTCTTTTTTTTCATTTTCGTTCAAAAATTGCACTGATATGTGGTTCTCACATTTCCCTGTGTAAATGTGTATAAAATTTGGTTTTACGTGATTTGATGAAATTATTAGAATTAGATTAGATTATTTCGTAGCAATATTAAAATATTTGCACTCTCTAATTATTGTTTAAATGGTATGAGATGAAATATGCATGTTTTTTAGGTAATCGTAGTACTAGTATTTATTTTTTTCTAACTTCATTAGCTACTGTATAAAAATAGTTGCAATTGAGTTGAATGAGTTTTGAACTAATTTTATTCAAACTAACAGCTGGATCTGGTCTTGAAGAATGAAGCAGGAGGTGACTTATCAGATTTTATAACGAATGGAGAGTGGTATTTAATAGGTAAGAGTTATACGTGCTGTGTGATATATTAAATTTGCATTTTCTTCTAAGAGCATATTAGTTGCATATGCGAGTGCATTATTAGATGTGATACTTTCAGTAGCTGTAACATCACATGTTTTTTTTCTATGAATGATACTCATAATAATCACTTTAATTAAGGAAGGTATTAAGCATCTAAAACAGAAGAAATAATAGTTTTGTTTCTTAGTATTATTATATATATATATATATATATATATATATATATATATATATATATATATATATATATATAATCAAAAAATATTAAATACTTTATCATTAATATGTGGGCGACTGAGCTTCACTCGGTTCAATAATAATTTATAAAAAAAAGTTTTTCTGGTAAAAAATTGCGTTTTTTAAGAATAGACACGTATATAGATAATCTTAAAAAGCTAAATACAACATTTTAGATTAGATCCCTTTTCGAGATACACGAAATAAATATGCAAGAATTACTCATTTAATATTACAAGTATAAGATACGATATACTTAATTTATTATATCTCCAGGTATGCCAGGCAAGAAGAATACGATAACATACGCGTGCTGTCCAGAGCCATATGTAGACGTTACGTTTACAATTATGATCAGGAGAAGAACGTTGTATTATTTCTTCAATCTGATAGTCCCTTGTGTTTTAATATCTTCGATGGCCCTACTTGGGTTTACACTGCCTCCAGATTCTGGGGAGAAACTTACGTTAGGTGAGTACTGTTTTTATGATACATATACTGAACTCTTACTCCCTTTTTAATATCTTGCTTGATGTTATTGAACAAAACAAAAATGTATTGAAGTTGGGGACTGAAGAAAATGCGAATTCTGATCTAATTTAGTATTGGCAACGTTTTCTGTACAATGTGTAAGTATATTTGCAAAATAAAGCTAAAATAATACAGAAAATGTTCAGTTATTTGTAAAAAAATTCTAATATGTTAGGAAATTTATATTTTACAATGCAGGAATTGACTTGATTTATTAACAACAGGTGTCACAATTTTGTTGTCGTTGACTGTATTTCTCAACCTGGTCGCTGAAAAGTTGCCTTCTACATCGGATGCAGTACCTCTGATAGGTATCGCATAATAGAAGGCGAAATTTGCGCATGTTATTTCTATATTCTATTTGTACTCATAAGATACTCGTAACATCTTCATATCAATTCGTAATAAAAATAATGCTAAGACATTATATTTCATTCAATTTACGAGTATATGACATAGAATTTTTATTAGAGCATTGTTTTATGGAGCAATTGTTGTCATACAAAGGAATATTAGGAAAAATACGCGCTTTATATTGAATGTTTCTAGAGAATGCCATGACTGTTTGTGTTAGATGTACCCAGCATTACATAACATATTGCAGATTCCATAAATGTGTGAGTATTTTTCGTTTACCATCATCTACAGTATCCTAAAGTTTTTATAATTCATTTTACGTCCTTTGGAGAGTTGTGTCCAGTAGGAGACAGGATGGTGGCTCAACGGATTTTGATACTGTCTTTGTAGGGTTAACTATGCTTTTGATTTCAGGAGTCACTATTCTTCTATCGCTGACGGTGTTCCTCAACCTGGTAGCTGAGACCCTGCCGCAGGTCTCCGACGCAATCCCCTTGTTAGGTACACACTCCGAACCAAGAACCCCCGACATCCTGCCCTATTCCAATTTAGTTTTTTTTTCACAACACTTACTTTTATTTTGATCTATTTAAAAATTTATTATTCTTTTATACTATCATTATCATTTTTATCCTCTTTAAACTAAATACTAAATATTATTTTAAAACATTACAAGGAGTTAATTATGTACAGCTAAAGTAGACTTGTAGATAAATTAACCCGTTGACTTTCTATGTTAGTACAAGGTTTTCGTTACGAATTATATAAAATGCTTTTGCCTGTTAATCAGTACCACTTTAATGTTTCGAATAAATTTTATAACCACTCATCTCATCGTAGCTAATATGTCTATGATGTCATTGTTATATGTTGTGTTCAATTAAATAACGAATCTTGGAATCGGTTTCGGTCTTATGTCAATTTTGTATTTTTTCTATTCACTGTAACATAAAATGATTAGATTTAGATTTTTCTGAATGTCTAAAGAGTATTAAACTTATTATTATAAAATTTTAAATACTAACACATTTACCAAATGCATGAGTATTTCGTAAATAAATGTATCCCTTGTGATACTCATAACGGTTTTGGAGGTAAGTTTCTTTATTTATATATTACCCAGTATATAATATTGCATTACCTAAGTAATAACTCACAAACGCGATCGATTCCATAGTATATTATTTGTGTTGTGTTGTTGGTGTTTTGTAAAAGAACATATTTAATCATCGAAATCCTTAACATCATTTCCTTGATACTTGGAGGGTGGTTTGATGTAACTCAATCAGATGAATGTAATTCTACTTCAATATCTTATTAAATTTAAATTATCTAAATAAATAAACAGAAGCTAAATAAAACACTCTCTAAAATAGTATTTGCATGACTTTGTTCTATTTTGTTTATTTTCACTTGAGCCCCTATTACCGACTCAGCACACTAACAGGAATTTATCAAAAGCGACGAAGTGTCGATCAATACGGGACCTGATGTAAACTAAACTGGGTTTATGAAACAAATGTAAATAGTCATTGTTTTACATGGACGTATATTGATCTTTGCAGGTGTAACAATTCTCCTGTCGCAAACTGTATTCTCTCTATTGGTGGGACACGTCATCACTAAAACCTCTGAGGCGATCCCCCTAATAGGTGAGAAATGCGTGTTTGCTAGAAATAAAATAAAATTAATAAAATAATATCTAAAACACAACTGTGAATAGATGTTCTAAATTATACAACTTGGGAATGGGTTATGAGGATTTGTTATGTGTAAGACCAAAAGAATTGCTATTTCGATGAAATTATGACTTTTCCTCGACCCAGTCCCGTAACAATATTTTAACAAAGAACTAAATAGAACGCTTGAATGGAACCTATCTAAAAAGCATAGTGCCTTAATCTTTTTACTTTTTAATTGCATTTTAGAATCTCGAGATGGAATTAATGCGCTTTAAGAGTTCTAAAACTCGAATTGAGTGTTACAGCTGAGCTATGTTTATATTCTTCTTTTAACCTAAGAAAAATTTCCAAGGTACTTTTCAAACTGGCCTCCAATCTTAATCTTGTAATGTATTAAAATAATTCACATGCTTCTCTTTTTTTACATATTCATATTAGCTTATACTTTTTCATTGACATACTAAAACATGACACTATTATTTTTGTTTAGCCATTTTTTTCCTTTCCATTGGTAAAAAATTGTATTTAGGTGACTACTGATGTCAAATATTAAAGCATGTTTTAAAAATTGTAACTGAGTTCAAAAATATATGTACATAATGCACAACTCTCCTTAATTTTGTATATATTTTGAAGCTTGATTATATAATATGTATTAAAACTAGAAGACTAAAAATTTAACTTTAATTTGCAATCAAAAACCCAACCTCCAAGTATCCCGCAAGCGATTTCTCAAATCTATTCTAAAGTCTTTATAATAAAATTACGACCATGCCATTATTTTCAAACATTATAATTAGTTTTCTTCTACTTATAGAGATAATTTCGTAAACTTTCATTATTGTATAGTTTTTATTAAAAATGTTTATTTACATATTTCATATATTTACTTTAAGTGTGATTGCTGATCTTTCTTCGTTTACATATTTCTAAATCTATTTACTTTAAATTTACTATAAATATACACTTTTCGGTAGCAATTTTTTTATTTTTCATTATCTGTCAGAATTCATTTTCTTTTTACTTCCTTTGCATTATAAATGTTAACCCTAAACTAGCATGTATAAAAAACCAATGCATGTACAATGTACATATTGCTTTTACTGTTGTCTAATATAGAAGTTAGATTTAAACATAACAGATTAGATCGTAAAATAATATTATTATAAAGTGGGTACTTAATTTTCTCCTTATGTTTGTTTTATTTATAAATCCAAAAATATTATGCTTGATACATTAAAATTCTAAGGAAATTGTAAATATTTAAAGCATTTGACAAATTTAGTTTTAGTTGTAAAATGCATTTGTTCTGGGTAACAGGGACGTATTTCAACTGCATCATGTTCATGGTGGCTTCGTCTGTCGTGTTGACTGTTGTGGTATTAAATTACCATCATCGGACTGCGGACATTCACGAAATGCCACAATGGGTGAGATATCCATATAATGCTATATAATAATAGTCTGTCTTTAGTTATTACAAGACGTTTGTAACAAAAAGCTTCATCTTTAAAATCATATAAATTTCACTTTAATTAATTTATTAGCCGCAAAAAGGGGGATTTTTTTGAAATTTATACCTCAATTTTTAGGTAATGAATCTATTTATTAACCAAAAAATATCGAAAATTTGTCGACAAATGAAAAACTTATCGCGTACCAACAACGCGTGATAAAGACATAATGTAAATATAAAAAATATTGGAGTTTTATGTTTTTTATGTTTATAATATAACTAGCGGCTTCGCTCACACTAAAACTTCAAAAAAACTGTAAAAAGTTAGGTTTCATACAAATTTTCATTCCCTATTCTACGGGGTGAATTTCGAAAAATACTAAAACACGTATTTATTTAATTGTATTGAAGAGCATTAATACCAAGTTTCAAGTAATTCTGATCATAAATTTTTTTTGGGTTGTATTATAACGTGTTTTCCCGTGGAAATGAGATAATCTCCCGCGGTAAAAAGTAGCCTATGTCACTCTCCAGCCCTCCAACTATCTCCACATAAAAAATCACTTCCGTTTCCACGCGAAAGAAGGACAAACAAGCAAAAAAACACACTTTCACATTTATAATATTAGTATAGATGTAGTGCCACTAGCGTGATTTGAAGTGGGTCAAAAAAGAGTCTTCAAATGTAACTAAAAATCATCTATACATATAATAAAATTGTAACTAAGCCGAATCTGTACATTAAATATTTTTTGGAAAATCTTATTGAAATAAACATAATTATAGATACAGAGACCAAATCTATAGTTTTTAGAATTTTTGTCTGTCTGTCTGTTACCGCATCACAGAAAACCACCGAAGGGATTTTGATGAAATTTGGTATGGTAATAGCAGGTTATCCGGGTCAACATATAGGATACTTTTTACTGCAGAAAATGTCGCATTTCTGAGAAAAAATACAAATACTGCAATGTTACAGTATTAAACCTAAGAATTTGGTTTTTCGTCATCTGAACGCGGGCGGAGCCGCGGGCAATGCTAGTAATTTATATATTACCACCTTGACGACAACTAAAATGTTATCATTATAATCCATGCTAGAATACTTTATCATGAAGTTTTATTTAGGTTCAGGTATCAGGTTTTAAAACCATAAAGAAAAAAAAACATTTAAAGTTCAGTTAAAGCATCAATTAAACGGAGCTTTGATCCAAAGTTGAAATAGTTTCTATTACAGCTGCTACGCTTGGATTTAATACTGGTCATAACATGACCGGATCGTAAAATCGCTGGTATAGTTTGGATAAAGTTTGACGTTATTATTACAAGTATAAGGAGCTTAAAATAAATTTTATGAATGCTAAAAACTTACTTTATCAGTGGAAACTGGTTATTTTTCCATTTTCACATTTCTTGTGAGATAGACTAAGGGTTTATAGTGAGTTTTTATTTCTGTGCTTAGCAGTAACAAAATTATAATATATATATATATATATATATATATATATGTATATATATATATATATATAATATATATATACTTGGTGTTGAGATCAAGGTAGTGCTTTATTATATAAAAACAGAAAGAGTTACTTTATTTTAGAAAATTTTGCCTATTTGTTATTCCAGGTATCTATCTATCCATGTACTAAATTTAATCCAAATCCGTCAAGCCGTTACAGCGCGGAAAAGTTATAAACATACATACCCAGCATATACGTATAATAGTAGTGTAACATATATATTTAAACTACTTTAGAGTCGGCTATGTTATTTGTATAGGTTGAATATATAAACTACAGTGATAAATACATATTTCTTTAATCGATAATTAAGAATATATTAATATAATTGGTCGATCGAATCGATATATAATCGATTAAGACATGAATAATACGATTTTAAATACAAATTATCTCTTCAGATTAAGACAGTATTCTTACAATGGTTACCATGGATCTTGAGGATGTCACGGCCAGGGAAGAAGATAACTAGGAAAACTATAATGATGTCAAATAGAATGCGGGAATTAGAGTTAAAAGAGCGTTCGTCCAAATCTCTCCTAGCTAACGTTCTGGATATAGATGATGATTTTAGACATGTACCGCCACCACCTAATAGTACTGCATCTACAGGGAACTTAGGACCTGGGTAAGGAGTAATAACATTGAACCAAAAAGTACCAGATACACAATCACCGACAAAAACTATCCTCATCGAGTCAGCGCTCATTTGAACATTTGAGCATGTTTTTGGTTTAAAAGTTTTTTTGTGAAAACAATTTTAAGCATTGCAATTAAGGTTCAATTCACATTGTTGTATATTTATTTCAACTAGAATAATTCCCTAAACACCATTGGTGACAGTTTTAAGAGAACTTTTGCGTGAGATTGTGTTTAGTACTTTTTTGATCGATGAGTATATAACGATAATAACGATAAATAAAATTATAATTTGTGGTATATCTACAGTGTGTGTAATATATGTATATGTAAAGAGGTTTACAACATTTACCGGCAATTTGATAACCCTTGCTAAGATATAATAATTATAGAAAAAAATATATGATAAAGTTCTAAACTAAAAAATAATCGATAAAGAAGTAACAAATTAACGAATTTGCTTATTTTTCACGAGATTTTATTTCTAACGACTTGAAATAGAACTTAACTAAGTATAGCATTACGACTAAAATTTAAAGTGTAGCATTTTTTTTTGTTGATTTCGAATCTGCATTTAATTTCTGCATTTTTGACCAAATTGATCAAAATTGACTAAAATGCAGATTTATTAAGGCAGTTAGTAAGGCAGATTAGTTTAGGGCCATCTTTATTATGACGGCAGTAATAATTGTACACATTTTTACAACAGATGCTCAATATTCCGAACGGACTTTCGTCGTTCGTTCGTGAGGCCGTCAACAATGGAAGACGTCGGTGGTCTAGGCAGCCATCATCGAGAGCTACATTTAATATTAAGAGAATTACAATTTATCACAGCGAGAATGAAAAAAGCGGATGAGGAAGCCGAACTCATTAGCGATTGGAAGTTCGCAGCGATGGTAGTGGACAGGTTTGTATTATTTTTGATCAAATAACCGTAGTTTTAATTATTACTCGGACATAATAATTTTTAATAAAACTTCAATGTGTTGCTGAAATTTTAAAGTTTTAATCAAATAACAAATTAATTATACAATAAAAACCTATAATTACATTATATAAAATAAAATATTACCTAAAATTGTAAGAGACGACATTTAAAAGTTTATGGATCCAAATGTTTTTATTTTTAAAATAAACATGACATACAACTAAATTATATAGAATTCTAAATAAATACAACCTACTTGGAAGATAAAATAAAATATAAAATTAAAGAAGTATACTATCTTTACATATATATTATTGTTTATTAGTTTATTTTACAAGTTAACGGATAAATAATTAAAGGCCGGCAAAGCATTCGCAACTCCTCTTGTGTTGCAGATGTCCATGAGCGACGATAGCCACTTACCATCAGGTGGATCGTTTGCTCGTTTGCCCCTGTTTTCCATAAAAAACAAAAAAAATAAAGAATGATTATATACATTACTCTTCGAGTTATAAGTAGTTTTCCCCAGTTTAATTAATAAAATGGTAGCATTAAGCCAAAGTTACACATTTAATATTTTTCTGTACTTAAAAGATAGAAATATTTAGTACTCAGTAATGTAGCAATATATAGAAACCTCTGATAAAACTATAAAAATATATTTTATAGTAAAAAAAAATATGTGGATTAAATTACTAATTTTCGAAAGATATGTGAAGTCTACCCACCAATATTTGGCAAGTAATAATAGACTATGGCTTGATCGTATTCTTATAGCATTTTATACCAATTTAATTACACTTTAACAAATTCTAAAATTATATGACGACACGTTTGGCTCAATTTGTAGTGACCCTACTTGCTGTGCCAGCGGTCGCGGGTTCAAGTCCCTCTGGGGGCATTCATTTGTGTGATAAGCACGAATGTGTCCAGTCATGGGTGTTTATATTTATAATGTGTATGTATTTAAAAGTTATACTATATGTAGTGTATCAACCAACTGGTATCCATAACACAAGTTTTGTGCTTACCATGGAAATAGATAGTGCTGTGTGTTAATATCTAAACATATTTATTATTTATTATTCTAAAGTTTAGATGGTTACAGCAAAACATCCTATCCACAGGTTCTGTCTGTTCGTGTTCACGCTATTCACTATAATCGCGACGGTGGCCGTGTTACTCTCAGCGCCTCATATCATCGTGCAGTGATGGAACCGCGTCCGTATCGCATCTACGAGAGAACTAATATTAGTTATAACTGTAATTATAATTATGTACAATATAATTTTATACGTGGTTCAAACGCACACGTCTCTATTAACTAAGTCGGAAGACAGTAAATGTAAAACTCTAACATTGTTAGTTAGGTCCAGCATTAATATAAAACGATTGTGATGTTGACTAGGATGTAATACATATAAATGTTTACGTATAATTTGTTAAATATATAATTAATTATATTTCTAATAAATACGGTTAAATATACGAATACGACTAAAGTGTTTATTTAAAATATTTTAAAGGGCATGCGTGAATCAGTACTTTGGTTCAAACAAAATCCGCGTATTATTTAAAGTATTGATATCTTTTGATACATGACAAATATATCTACTTTAAGTGGTTTTGATACACAATGATTTTATTAGATTTCAATATGAGACAGCGAATGGCTAACATCGTTCAGACGTTCTTTAATTTTAGATTACTTTGAAAGGATTTCTCATTCCTTTGTAAGTAAATGCGGGATCACTATCGTTGACATTACCGTAGGGTGTTAAGAAATGTACATAATTTAAAGGACTTAATATTGTTAGAATCAAATAGATTAAAGTTATTGGGTCATGGGTAAGGTAAATTGATTTTGTTTGATTATAAACGGATATTGGTCGTTGGCAAAACTTTTCGTTCCGATGTAGGTACAAAGCGATATTGGGAATTGTTTGCGTTTATGGAATTGAAACAGATTATATAAGTAAAAGGAACCAAAGTAACGATAGAATAGAGCGTAGACACACGTATAAAATAAAGATTTTAAAAATAATTTTTAAACATGTACTACCTAAATAAAGTGAAATATCGTTTAAGGTGAATGGTGAGTTCTGTAAAATTAATCTGACGTGTGGATATGATTTAGAATTTGAGATTAATATTGTTGTTTTTGTAGGTTTAGACGATTTTAGTTAACTACACAATTTTGATAATGTTCACGTAAATGATGCGCAAGAGTATCACACTGCTGACAATTATGTATTGGATATGTATGAGTTTATACGAAGATATGATATGTATATAAGTACGGGTGAATCCGTAATTTAGGTTTTTAATAACAATGAATGAAATGAAGCAACGTTCTAAATATTTAGGTGAAAATGCCCAAGATAACGATTCACTATGAAATTTATTGACCAACAAGACCTTCGTCTTAAATTTATGAACAAGTGGCGTTATATTTAAATTGAATTGGGTGCAATCCTTTAGCACGTACTTTCTGTAGTTTTAGCATCTATTATAACTTAGATTACTTGTAATTATAATATTTATTCACCTCTTTATCTATGTCCGTTCCTCGATTTCGCTCTTATAGGTGTCGTGATAGCCTAGTAAATGTCGTGTCTGTAATTTAAGGCTATTATTATTAAGGAAGCTCACTAACTACAATGTTTTAAATAGAATAAAATAAAATGTCTACGTGTTATTTTAAATCAACTTAAATTTACTTGTTGGATGTTTTTATCAATTTATAGGTTTTTTTAAAGATAATGTTAACAATTGTGTAAGTTCTATCATTGTTATAATTTTAATTTTATCATATACTGTATGGTGCTGAGATTATATCAAGATTGCTTTTTTCTTTGTATATATGTTTCCATTTACTGAATATTTTAATGTATTTTAATTAGGAATCTTCATAGCCGTTGTATTATCAGTAAATATGTAAAATTAAATGTACTCATTCGTCTTTCGGAGCGATGAAATAATCGGTATATAACTTAGATTTGTTAGTGCCAAAGTATAGGATTTATAAAATTGTATTAAGTTGGTTTATAGGTATTATAAATTATAAAAAGTAATGTTGAAAATTTTATTGTAAAAACTAAAAAAAAAAAACGAAATAGTGTCTTTGTTAATATATGATTTGACGTTAATGTTGGAAGCGCCGAGTCGCAACTACGAGCTCAATCAGCCAATTTTAAAAGCTTAGTTATTTAAAAATTAAATAAAGAGGTTGTGAAAGGTTTTTAGAAAGCTCGTGGGTTGCGATTCTATGCTAATAAACTATACATTTAAACTAGTAGAAATGAATCTACATATAAATTAAAAGTGGAATAACTAAAACGCCTGCTTGGGACCGGGTTAGAAATAAACGTACAAAATGAACTGATGCATTACAACACTCTTTCATCTGCAGTGCTTTACTTTACTTAATAATATATTTGGTTTGAAGAGTAACTTTATTATTCTTGTAAGTTGAGTGAATCTATCCATTGTCGAAGATTTTTAGACCAATAATGAACAAATTGAAGTCAACAATATTTATTATAGATAAAATATCGCCGTCTGACATTTTTAAAATATCTAATTTTCTAAGAATTTATTAAAATTGAATATTCTTACTAATATATTTTAAGCTATATTACATTTTTGTATTTAAATTAAAATCTTCTATGTTAAACTTTGATTGTCAAAGAAAAATATATACATACCTTAATTTTATTACTTCATAACGGTTCCGTATTTTAGTTCAGACGACGATATTCTAATATCAATATGCGTGATTCTGTGGGTGTTTTGTATTAAATAAGACAACAACGCTGCCATTTTGATTTTAATATTTTATATCACTCGTGTTAGATAAATAAATGCGCTAAGCTTCAACTATTCATAATTTTACAATTCCGCTCCAAATTTATTTAATCATGCACTATCAAAACTTACTCAAGCTCGGATCGTTACACGCATTACGAAACATTTTGTTATAAATTTGCTTGACTTGATATTGTTTGTGTAGTTTTCTATCGATCGTGTAGTAAAGATTTAAAATTAAATAGAAATTTGGAAAATCTTTTAAACCATAATGATAGAATTATCCATACAAGGTAAAGATCCTACACAAATAATTCAACTGAGCATCGCACAACCGAAACTAAATGCTTTAATTGTAAAACAGGTATTTTTGACTTTTATGTATGTATATTTATCACTATTCTGTATCTCTGGTACCTGTAGTTTAAGGTTTCACCTTTTATTATATTTATACCTAAGGCTCGTCTCATTTCCAAATTACGAAATGCAGTATTAGCGAGTAATCTTATATGATTGATATTAAAATATTTTAGTGGCAATCATATTGAATTAGCTTTTTAAATAATACACACGATAATAACTTTAAATTTTTATTATAATTGAGTGAATAAATGTTATTTCAGTCATAATTTATTAAATCGAGATGAATTCTAATAATTTTTAGCAAAATTGCCAATAAATTCTTCTTTGTGAGTGGGATTGTCTTCATAAAACTAGTTATTAGTGACACAAAAGTAAATGAAGTTCTAAAGCAAATATCACAAGTTGTAACAACCGGAAAACCAATTACGATTGGAACAGATAAGATATTGGATACCCTGTCCATACGGCACGATTCGATATTCGCTGCCAAGTTTGGGTTTAGCCAACTTAATAAGTAAATAGAAAATGGAATCTGATGTTTTTTTTTGTATTTGAAGGATATTCTTACAAAAAATCTAAATTTTTACATGTTCATATTATGAACTAGCGGCTCGCTCTCGCTTCGTTCGGGTTCGTCCCTAAGTGATTCTAAACTTTTTTATTTATGAACCGACTGAAATAAAATAAATGCTAAATGTTAAGTGAAGCTTACCGCAATACATTAGAGAACTGTGCCAAATCGGTTAAGCCATTTCTGAGATTAGCGCCCACAATCACACGGACAAACAAACAGTCCAAAATTCTAAATATCATTATTTTGGGTTTAACCGCGTTAATAAAGATCTCCAATAATATTTTTTCTCCAATATCTTCCATGTACAGACAGCCATCAGTTAAAATGTTATTATATGTATCGATAATGTTCCAGCTTTCTCTTTAGTAACTAATATTCTAGTAAAATATCAAAGATTTGAAGTTATTGAAATTTAGTTAAACCGTTTAAGTTCTCACATACATTAAATACGGTTAATATAAAAACATTATTATATGTATTTCGTGTAAACAAAGTAATAATTAAAAAACAGTGAACATATAAACAATCTCTTGACAATTTTATCTTTTTAAAACAACTGATGCTTAAAACAAGTTACTTTACTCCTGTATATCGATCATTCATTTATAGTTTTAATTCCACATTAAAGTTACTAAATTTCAAAATCATATACAACCTCATTCGTGTCTTCCTCACAAAACGTGACATTGGCAGAATGGATTGCGTCTGTTAACGCAACTATAAGCAAAAATAAAAAAAAAATAAACAAGTTGAAATTTTAAAGTTATTATCATGTGCCAAATGACCTCACAATTTTAGTCGGCTTTTATTATTATTGGTAAGTTCGTGTATCTGCTTAATGATTTAATGTGTAGTCCACCACTTTGAGAATATTTCGATAGTAAGAATAATTGCCGAAGCTTATAATTAATATTGGTGTATACAATTCCAAGTTTCCTTCAACTCATTGAAATTAAATTTTGAAAACTTATGCGTTAAATTTTGATTTCAGTCAAGTGCGGTTATTGAAATTAAAAGTAGCGTTTATATAATTTGTACGTAGCTTTTCCCGTTCGCATTGTAAGCATATCAGGGTAAAAGTAGCTTACGTCCGTCCTTATGATGCAATCTATGTGTTTTACAAATTTCATTGAAATAAGTTCAGCCATTTAAGCGTGAAAAGGCTACAAACAGACAGACAAAATAACTCTTACATTCACAATACTTGTTTTGACTGTCCAGGACTTTTACTGCTCTAACTGCTCTAACTGCTTTAACTTTCTGCTCTTTAAAAACACATATTTTAGACAAAAGTGGTCGACTACACCAAACTATTGATCATAATTTTACGTATATAAGCATGGTCATCATTTTACATCGTATATATTATTTTTGTATGCCTCTCATAATAAACTCCACATTGTGTTCCTGTGGCTTATCCATAGTTGAAAATAATTAAAATTAATTAAAATATGACTGCAGGTAA